TGGCATTTTAATAATCTTTACAAATACAACGCTTGATATTAATTGCATTCATCATGTTGTGCAACCATCATCATAATTCTTTTCCAACTTTCCCCATCACCTTTACCCAAAACTTAGTGTTGCCTAAGCAGTGAGTACTCTTTTCCTGTTCTCTCCCATCCACACATGGTAAGTTCTAGTAACCTTAGGTCTGTATACATTTGCCTGTTTTAAATATTTCATATAATTAGAGTCTTGTAGTATTTGTCCTTTTGTGACTGATTTATTACATTCTGCATGGTGTTTTCAGGGGTCATCTCTATTGATGTATCTGTGATATTTCTTTGAAAGAATGGTAAACTTGGGCAGCCTGGTCTGATAAAGGGTAGAAAGCAGCGCAGCGTCATGGCCATTAAGGGAAAGAGTTGTATTACTTCATCTTGTTGTTCTGATATGAAAATAAATGCTCTTTATTCTCAGTCATTGCGTTTATCAGTTCTCATGAAAAGGGAACATTGCTGATTTTGATTCAATTGTTTCCCAGATCCATAAGTTAAAGCAGGAAGGCAGGACTAGGCAGTGCAAACATGGTTGTGAGAACTGTCTTACTTCACGCAGGCACTGGACACTATAAATGGTCAAAACTATAGTACAGAATGTCCAAGGAATGTTTTACCAGTCGCATTTCAGAAACAATAGAATGCTATGATGGTAGTGAGTTTGATGTAACTTATGCTTAATTTGTGGTACTTGTTTTTTTTATTATTCTACTAAGCTGAACCTATTTTTAAGAAATTCTTGTTTTTACTAAGCTGAACCTATTTAAAAAAAAATTCTTGTTTCGGTTTCCCTTGAACTATATTGCTTGATTTTTTTACAAGTGGTGTTCTTTAAAACACTCGGGGAGGAGACGAGCCAGTCAGGGTGCGATGTAGCAATGATGAAAAATACAACTTTCCTCTAGTTCCTAAATGTTTCCTCCCCGCTCCCACTATCATGATATGATTTCTACCTTGCAAGTCTGGCTAGACCAGAGGATGTACACTGGTACAGATAGGAACTGGAAACAGGGAATCCAGGGTAGATGATCCCTTCAGGACCAGTGGTGGGAGTTGCGATACTGGGAGGGTAGAGGGAGAGTGAGTTGGAAAGAGGGAATCTATTACAAGGAACTGTATGTGACCTCCTCCCTGGGGAACGGACAACAGAAAAGTGGGTGAAGGGAGACGTTGGACAGGGCAAGATATGACAAAATAATAATTTATAAATTATCAAGGGCTCATAAGGGAGAGGGGAGTGGGGAGGGAGGTGAAAAATGAGGACCTAATGCCGGGGGGCTTAAGTGGAGAGGAAATGTTTTGAGAATGATGAGGGCAATGAATGTACAAATGCACTTTACACAATTGATGTATGTATGGATTGTGATAAGAGTTATATGAGCCCCTAATAAAACGATTAAAAACAAAACCAAAAATATTCCCACAAAACTCCAGACTTTAGGAAATGAATATTTACTTATTGTGTGGCTCTCAGCTAATTCATAAAACCAGACAGCACGTCTTGCATGGAAATAGGATTCATCTGAAGGTAATGGAAGCTTCTACTGTTAATCAGAGCAAAAGATGTTGGCTGGATTAACTTAATACCTGGGATCAAGCCAAGAGATATGAATACATCCATGTCATTACAAGAGCTTAAATACTCACCTCTACTTCACCCTGAAGCAGGACCGACATATTTTTAGGTTCTCCTTATCAAGGGTTCAGAAAAAAACATCTTTGCTTTAGTCTCACTCTCCCAGGATCACCTTGTTACCACAGCAATGGTATTCCTTAGCAAATGGTTGTGGGCTCTGTGTCCTTCAGGTTACAATCCTCCTCACTGCCATCGGGTCAGTGCTGACTCACAGTGACCCTATGGGACAGGGAGTTTTTGAGACTGAAACTCCTCAAGAGAGTAGAAAACCCCATTTTTCTCCCAAGGAGCCACTGGTGGTTTCAAACTGCTAAACTTACTTATGCAGCCTAATGCTAAGCACTGCACTACCAGGGCTCCTCGGGTTACATTGGTCCCAGTAAGAACGAGGAGATCAACATTAGACACTAGGGCCCTCCATCATCCTCGCAGGAGAAAAGGAAGAAAGGTTGGCATATCCAGAAACCTCTTAAAAAAATCTTTACATATTCCAAGCTGTCATGGTCGTGGATGCGAGTTTCCCAAAATTCTAATTTCGCTTGAAAGTTTAGTTATCAGTTCTTTTCTTTGAAGGAGAACTTCATTTATATATATCATGTAATAGGTATAACATATAGCCAAGTGTGAAAAACTGTAGTTGTCCTTCAAGTGAAGCAAATAGTATTCCAAGGAAAAATCAACTAATTCAGTGTACACTCAAGCAATCATGCAAATATAGGCCTCTGCGATATTATACTAATCTATGCTTAGAAGTGCTTTGTGGATACTTCTTATTTAGTTACACAGAATATTAGGATGTAAACGCAATCACAAAAATTTAATCAAATCTATAAATTTTGCTGCTTAAAGAAAAATTACATACTTCATTTTGTTCTTGTTGAAAATATTCACAGCAGAACATACACCAACTCAGCAATGTCTACATGTACAATTCAGTGACACTGGTTATGTTCTTCAAGCCGGGCAACCATTCTTACCTTCCTGTTCCAACTTATTCCTACCCCACTAACATAAACGAATTGTCTCCCCTCAGTTTCCTATCCAACATTTTGAGTGTCTATTTTCAATTTGATCCCATATAGACAGTTCTTTAAAAGAGCACATTATTCCAAGCAGGCAATCTTCATTAATTAAACAAAACTATTGTTTGTTTTAAAGAAGCCTCCAAGAGACATTTTTGGTTTCAAGGTTGAAGATGATCAGAGGGTAATGGTTTCCAGGGGTTCATCCAATACTCATGGCTCCAAAAAAATCTAGATTCCACGAGAATGTGAATTCTGTTTTGTTAAGAGCATTTCTAAGTGAAATTGAATATTTAAAATATTGATCTTATATCTGTAAAGACCAAAATCACCACTAGTGTAGCATGGGCCCACTGCCTTGATTCATTCATATTAAGTAAGACCCCTCAGTCTTACCTACTATTCCTTTGGAAACATTGGCGTCAATGTTAATGCAATGAAAATGGAAAATAGCTTGTTAGCATTATTTGGAACCTAGCTCGAAATTTTGGGTCTCAGGTACCTGCAATAGTCTGTGGACTATACTTTGAAAACAGTTTGATCTCTATTCTGTGTGAAACATGCATGCAGATGTAAATCATAAGCCTGTGGATGAATTTTCACTGAGTGTCAGTTGTGTGAAACTTTTTGACTGATGCCACAGGCATATACAATGAAAGTCCATCCATGCCCATAAATACAGTACATTATAGTTTGTAATAGATGCATGATGTGCCATTTATTGTTTCGTCAGCTCCTTTGTGTTAGATATTTAAGGTGTCTTTAGTTTTTCACTCTTAGAAACAGTGCTGGAATGACCATTTTTGTGCATTCCCTTTGATTCTTTTCTTAGAAGAAAATGTCCTACAAATAGAATTTTTTGGGCAGAGGACATGCACATTTTAAAGATTCCTCATGCATAGAACCAGAATTACCTTCCAGACAATAAATGAGCTATACTAAGATACAGTGCCAATCTATCCTTTTTCTATATTCCCACTTCCCAGGACTCCCCATTCCTACCACAAATGTTTCCCAGATCCATAAGTTAAAGCAGGAAGGCAGGACTAGGCAGTGCAAACATGGTTGTGAGAACTGTCTTACTTCACGCAGGCACTGGACATGCACTATAAATGGTCAAAACTATAGTACAGAATGTCCAAGGAATGTTTCACCAGTCACATTTCAGAAACAAGAGAATGCTATGATGGTAGTGAGTTTGATGTGACATGCGTAGTCCGTGGTACTCTTTTTATTGTTATTTTACTGAGTTAAACCTATTTTTAAAACAAGTCACAAAGGAGGGTTTCAGGAAAGATGTTTGTTAGCAAAGTATGCTGGCTTTGGAAAACTGCTGGGTCACTTCCCTTTTCTTCTGTTATCTTTTCAGCCAGGGAAGGGAGAAAGGAAGGCACATCTGCTCTCAACACGATGTCAGTGAACCTACCTGGGGAGTTTCTCTCCCACAGCGATCAAACTACTGTCCCTCATCTGAAAGCAGGTGGACCTGGACCTCAAGCACTCATGTGCACTAAGGACCATTCTTTCTGCCCTGCTTTTTTCTCAGCCTTTGAAATGACCACCCCTCTGACCTTAGGTGGTCTCCGGAATTGCCTTAGAAAGAAGGCCTTTCCCTGTCAGGACCCACACAAGATCCCACAAGCCTCCTTCCCAGGCACCTCACAGCCAAGTCTCAGCCAGTGGATCCTGGTACTTGGTTATTATTAGTATAACCATCTTTCCTTAACAGCTCCTATAGTCACCACTCTATTGCACCCTTTATCATCTCATGCTTGTCTATTATGATAACTTCTTAACGAATATCCTTATACCCAATCTCCACCCTTACCTCCAAGCCATCCTGTAACATCGCCCCCAGATTTATTTTCCTTAAATCCAAAATGCTCAGTGACTCCCAGAACATGACAGGATAATATTTTAATAGATCAGCTCAGGATTTTAGACCTTTCCGAAATTTGCCTCATTCTAAATTCTCCCCCTTTCTATCTCATCACTCTTGTTCCCACAGCTTCCACTCCAGGCAAACTAGGTTCCTCCTTATCACAGAAACATATTTTCACCCCCCATGCCTTTGTTCAAACCATTTCCTCCTCCTGGAATGCCACTCTAAGTTTTCTCATGCTGTCCCTTAAAGGGCACACCCTTTCCCCCTGAGATTTCCTCAGCAATCTGTGTTTCATTTAACTGACTAGTGCCCATTTGACAGCGAATATACGTCTAGGGACTGTCAGTGATCCCTCGGTATTTGGGTGCTTTTCCTCTCCAGCTAGATTTTAAATTCAAGCACGAGACCTAATTTTTCAGTTGAACATACAACTTTATTGATGATACACAAATGACGTCTTTGGTGATAAATTCAAGTCAAACCAAATAATGGAAATGGAGTCTATTCATGACGGACAGGTTTGCTGTCGTTCACATACAGAAGCTGGTAAAAATACTTCCATTGAAGCGGCACGATAAAACTCACACATGTATTTTCAGTACAAGAGGACTATGTATTTGGTATTCATAAAATGGTTCCGTTTAAAGCTGGAGACTGTCACAGATAAGATCACGCTGGATGATACATTATTCAAAACTGGCAGCTAAAAAGATCCCTTTACCAATTGAGCAAAGTGCAAAAGCAGTAACTTTCCATTCTCAATGCTTCCAGACAGCCAAACCAAGAACAGCCTTCAAGGTCTTGGAGGGTACACAGCCCATCAGAATTTATCGACTAATTTGATCACTTTCACTTTCACCAAGAGGTCATGGTGATTTGCTAAGGCCCGGATTTTCTTCACGCACACCCCAGATGCCGTGCATAAGAAAAACAGGGAGCCTTTATTGAATTCTCTGTAGCTGAATACTTCTGCTCTGAGACTGTCATAGATGATCTCAAATAGAGTGAGGGCATTGATAAGAATTTCTGATTCTACATAAGAATTATAGAGTGAACTAAAGGATGCTGGCACTTGGGTACTGAGCAGTTTTTTTAGCATGTCTGGATTTTCAGCGAAATTCGACAGTATTTTCAAAATCTCCACCTTGATTTTTCCACCTCCCTGAGATAATAAACGGAAAAAGTTTGCAATGGAATTGACAAGTAGGTGTTGGTAGTCATTAGTAATGGTCATGTTTGTTAAAAACTTCAGCCCAACTATCTGCACCGCTGAGTTCAGATTAGAGGCCATGATGTCATCCATCACTTTATTCATGTAGACCTGAAGGCGGCCCTGATTTTCATAATTCTCACTCAGGTTATTCATGACCATTAAGGCTTTTTCCTTAATGTGTGGGTCGGTTTTGTTGATCATGTTTGCAATTATGGGGAGGCCTCCTATTTTTCGAATTGTGTCTTGGTTGCATGAGTAATTGGCATTGTTGCTCAGGGTGAGCAGAGCGACCTGTTGGATGAAAGGATCATCTGTTTTCTGAAGTAAGGTAAGGACTTTCCTGAGGTCTCGAGCACCCAGGATCTCATCGATTTCATAAGGGAAGGGGCGCTTCGTCACGGGAATGGGTCTCTTCCCTCTTCCCCTGTGTTGGGTCTCAGGCTCAGAGTCTGACTCAGACTCTGTATCAGTCCATCCGGACTCCCCTTCCTCAGAATCAGGTATCTCCGCCAGGAAAGCCTTTCCCCCATTAGCTGAGGCAGCAGCCGCTACTGCCACCCCATCTCCAGGTCGGAAGCCCAATCCCAATTCATCTACTTCAGCTTTATTTTTCTTTCCCTTGCCTTTGCCTTTGCCTCCAGACCTGGACTTGTTTCCACCATTGGCCCCACCTTTGGGGACAGCTCCAGTGGCTGACCCAGCCTTAGGGATAGCCCCAGTGTGTGCTCCAGGGGTCGCTCTCTTGGCTGCTGCTGTTTCAGGAACTGCAGCTGATTTAGAAGCCCCGGAAACCCCAGGAGCCTCCGCAGCCTTGGGAGGTGCTGCCGCCCTGGTAGACGCTGTTGTTCTGGGGGTCTCTGTCACCTCACTGGGTGCTGCCACCTTCGGAGCCTCCACCACTTCAGTAGGTGTTGCAGCTGTGGGAGCCTCAACAGCTTCTGTTGCCTCTGGGGGTACAGCTATGGGGGCCTCAGCCTCGCTAGGGGCTTCTGCCAATTTGGGAGCCAACGGCATTGTGGGAGCCTCTGTAGCCCCAGGAACCTCTGTGTCCCTGGAAGGTGGTGCTGTTTCAGAAGATACCGCAGTAGGTACTGCTGATTCAGCCTTAGAGCCATCTCTGGCCCCATTGGCCTCCTGGGCCTGACTTCCTGCACCATTCTGGGCCTCAGCACTGGCCGCAGCTAGAACCACTCCCTCAGCTCCAGCTGTGTCCAGTGCAGAGGTTTCATCCTGGGTGGCTCTGTTCTTGGTCTCAGCCAGAACTGGCGTTGGAGGACCAAATCCAGACCCAAGGTCAATTGTGAATCCTGCCTTTAGCCCGGCTCTAGCCTTGGCTCCAGTCCCAGCCACGGCCCTGGCCTTGACCTTGACCAGTCTCTTCTTCTTCTGGTCTCTTCCCCTGGCATATTTGTACACACAGTACCAGGTGCCGGCTCCAATAACTATCCCTGCAGCAACGCAGCCAGCATCCCGAACTCGGCTCATGTTACAGGTGAGGTGATTCTCTGATCCAGGGCTTGGAGCTGGCTTGCCCTGGCAGGATGTTTTCGAGTGTGGGCAAAGCTCTTCAGCTCAGGCGAGCAAGTTGTGTTTTGGTTGGAAGAGGTTCAGGACCTAGGGGTACAAGATAGAGATGAGACTTTGAACTCTAGCTCACTTTGGGCCAACCCAGGCCAATTTCAAGAAGAGAGTGGGGCTGCAATGAGTGATGGCAGGTTAGCACTCAAGGCACAGGCACCAAGGCCTGTGTTTGTTCATTCAGAACCTTCACTGGCCAGTGTTTATCTGCAGCCCTCTTCCACCCTGCCCAACCCAACACACAGTTTCCCAACACTCAAGCGGAAGATGGGAGCTTGGGCAATGCTGGACTGTGCTAGACTACGAACCTAAAGGATTGGCTGTTGCAATTCACACAGCAGTGCCGCAGAAGAAAGGCCTGATGATCTGCTTCCGTAGAGATTACAGCCAAGAAAACTCAATGGAGCTCAGTTTCTACTCTGTAATACATAGGGTGGTCACAAGTCAAAATCAAATGCATGGCAACCGGTTTGGTTTCAGTGAGGGCTGAGAGGCAGAATGGGCATTGCAAAAGCGGACAGAAAGCAGGGAAAGGCCATAGAAATTCCAGATTCTCTTCTGATTCCCACCACACCCCAACTCCACAACTCTCATCCCAATCGTGCCCAGGGGGTGCTCCCCAAACTTTGGGAATCTGCAGCTGTTAGCTCTTTTCCTTCCAAGCCTGTGGCCGTACAGCGCCCCAAAGGCACACAGACTTGTGAGCCGACCCCTCCCCAAAGAGGGTGTTTCTGCTTTCAGCAGTCTGACTCTTGCCCCTTTGCTGATTTGAACCTCTGTGGGCTCCCTTTCAGGGCTCCCCTTCCTTTTCCCATCACCTCCCCCTTACACTATTTCCTAAGGGGGCTAATCTCACACCCCTTTCTCTGCACCAAAAAGGCTGGGGGTTGGAAACAAGGGTGTCTCCTCAGGAGGGCGAAGACGGAAGAGGAGGAGGAGCCTCCGATCCCAGACACAGCTTGGGTTTCTGGTACACCCACCCCAGGGGTTCTCAGACAGGTCTCACCCCTCAACACTGACCTCCAAGCTTTCAGGGTTCCTTCCTTCAGTTCAGTTAGAACTTCATCCTAAGGACGGAGTGCAGGGCAGACCTACCGACAGCAGAGGTGGAAGAATGAGCCTGGTGGGTAAATCAGTACCCAGGACAAGCATCCCAATCACTGCCTTTCAAAACTCACATAAGGAGAATGTCAAAGGTTTCCACCTTGAATATTCCCTCAACTCTTTCCACACGTCTTCACTCATCTGAATCCACCACCCCACCCCACCCCTATGCAGTCTCCTCAAGCACTCCACCCCTCCTTCCACTCCCCCCCCCCCCATCCGCCATTTCTGGGGACACTCCGCCACACCCCTTCTCTGCACCGAAGTGGGAGAGGGCGGCGAGAGGTGCCGAGAAAGCTGGCTGGGACCCAGGATGAATGACTGCCCCACAATCTAGTGTCCCCCTTCCTGTGAGCAGCTGCTCTTCACTCCCCAGTTCTTACAGGCCTTGCCTGCGTCTGCATAACAGGGGCCCCAAAGACTGCCTTTTAGGGTTCTGGACGTGATTTCCCACTGTTTCTATACTCTGGTCTCCGCCTCCCACCCCCACCCCCACCTCACCCAAATCTCCCGATAACCGCCATTTCTCCCGCCTGCGAATCCGAAATTCCCTCTCTAAGATCCAAAAGACTGGGGGTGGGTGGCGGAGTGGGCCCAGAGGTATTTGGAAAGCACGGTGGGAGCTAGGTACCGCGGTTTAACTCCAGATTTTCACAGCAACCCCTCCCCCCCCTCTTCCTGTGGTGCCCAGATCATGGCCCAAAGGCCGCCCCCCACCCCCACCCAGGCAGGGACTGGCACACCCATTTTCGGCACCCCTAAAGAACTGTGGGCCAGGGCAACGGTGGGGGCAGGAGGTGTCTACAAAGTGGGGGGGAGGGAGTGAACTGGTCCAAAGGTTTGTGGATTGGGTGCCCTTTCATTCGCCCTTGCCCAGGCTCCACACTGGCCAGAGACGCTTTGCCACGTTTATTCCTCCTCTCAAAACAGGACCCGGTGTTGGGTGCGGGCCCGAATGTCAAAACCTACATGGAAGCCGACTGGCGGCCAGAGAGAGTAAGCGGATTCTTGGTGAAGTCTAGCAAACTCTTTCCGCTCCACTCCCCGCCCCCACGGCCCTGCCCGCCGCCTACCGCACGACGTCGGAGCGCGGGGTCTGGAGCGGCAGCCCGGGTGGGGGAGCGGCGGCGCCCGCGCACTCGGACCCCGGCTCCCTGGGCAGCCCCCTGAGTAAGGCTCCCTGGCGAGCCCACCTTCACACCCACCTGGCCAGAGCTGGGGAAATGTTCTCCTCCTCCAACTCCTCCTCCT